AACCCCAAAACCCCAAAACCCCAAAACCCCAAAACCCCAAAATAAGAATATAAAATTGAAAAAGGGCTCTATATTACTCAACTAATTCAAGAAGTTTGATGAATCGAATAGAAAACAAAGACATTAGGCCTAAGAGAGTTTAGTAAAGAAGATGTATATTTCGTATTTGATTGATTATTTCTTCCTTTAAGATATAATACCCCCTTTATATGAAATAAAGACATCCTAAATCTAAAGGCTAACATATAAATCTTTGCTTAATTTTACCAAATCTCTGACTTTATCCTCTATCAACACACCCAAGAGGTTATCTGTACTACCAAATGCCTGTAATATAACTTCCCATTACCCTTGTAATAGCTTGGCAATTCTCCAAAATAGTTTAAAACTCTCTTCAGCAGTAAAATGCCTAAGGCTAATTTTTACTAAAATTTGGTTCAGCCAATTATCCAAAAATTATGCTTTATTTGACTTCAAGTTGGGAGATTTGGCTGAGCTCTGAGAGCCTGCTTCTACAAGCTCATCTACCAACGAGCCATGCCTCCTTGTCTAGATCCACGAGTTGAAGGGTTTGGACGCCCAGGAGTTCTTCCACCACGTCTCCCGCCCCTATAGGAACCGCGATGACCCTGACGATTTCTGTTAGACCCTCTTTTAGGCTTGCTCTTGGCCTTAGACTCAGCTTTAGCCTTTTCTTTTTCCTCGTACTTCTTTTGCTTGTCTATATTGGTTAGGAAAAGAGACTACCAATGACTTTTGTGTGGTCCTATAGATTAGATCATGAGGAAAATACCTTTTCAGAGACTATTTTAAACCCATCGTCGTCATACTCTGGTTCTGTGGGTGCTTTCTTAGTCATCGGTATCTAAACAAGTCTTAGACTCCATCCTAAAACCCAATATCTTAAGCTAAGACCTAAAATCCCTCCCTATACCTTCTCTTCCTCTTCTTCTAATCCATCATTGTTCTCTTCCTGTTTGGTACTATAGCTGGATTTCTGGAAATTTTGGCTAGTCGTGTTTGTAACTGTTTCTGTGAGTGTTTCAACTTGGGGGACTAGCTTATTGGGTTTCTTGGTAGGGGCTGGGGATGAGGCTGTTACTTGAGTGGGGACAGTAGCTTTTTCTAGAAAATGTTAGAGAGAGATTACTTTGAATAAGAGGTCCTTTGGATGGGATACTGTTGATCACGTTGAGAGCATCTACTGTGTTACATTTGCCAGATTCGAAATTGAAGAGTTTTTGATAGAACTTCACACATTCGTAAAACTGTTGATACAGCCTGTCATCTTCCAACTCTTTCTGGTCTGCACTCACAATCTGATCTACCACATCAATGAAAGCTTGTGGTGGCTGGAACTCATGGCTTTCTTCAGTAAAACTCACTTCAACTTTGTTGTCGAACTGAAGTTCTGCTCCAGTGGCTCTGTCTGTACAAACGATCTTACCAGCTTGCTCGCTGAACTCTGTGGCCGCAAATTGTTTGAAAAACCCACAGCTGATTCTGACTTCTTTGAGAGGATCTCCACTACGCTGAATAGTCGGGTGGTCTTGTCTGTGACAACACCTCATGTATGCCTGCAACAAGTAGTTGTATGAAAATGGATGAGAATTATTCGGAGCATCTCTGCTTGCTGTTCTAAAGCTCAAAGCTTGTTTGCAGTGAGGCAGCAGCAAAGTGATCGATGACTGGACGTCCTCTGCTGTCAGTCTTCTGGTGAAATCGGTCAGCTGTTTTTTGAGTCCAGAGAACTGGTTCGGAAGAATGTTCTTGTCAATAAAGACTGCAAACCCTGTGTGGTCATTGTCTTGAATAACTTCTGTGACAATCTCTGAGAGACGCTGGTCGAACTGGGTCTTCGCCGGCTTGGCAGTGACACTGAATGCGGTGTCTCTGTCTTCTCCGAGTTCTTGCATTCTGGCTTCGATCAACTCTGCTCTGATGTCATCGCTCGACAGATGAAGCAGCTTGATCTGGCTGTCTGAGCTCTCAAGCTGCTCGGCTACACATGAGCGCAAATACATACCAATGGCTTGTTTGAGCGCGGTCTTGCCAGTGCCTGGAATTGTCATTGGCAACAGGAAAGTGAGGGACTTGCACTGCTTGATTTCGGATTGGTGGGTTTCGGGTTGCTTGTGGTGAGTTTGGCGTGCTTGGCTGGGTTTAGCAGAGGAGTAAGATTTAGATTCTTGGATGTGATGGGTTTTCTGTTCTGTTGGATTACTCGGGGGATTCTTTCTCATACTATTTTTAGACTCTCTCTGATGATTCTTTTCTACTTTTTCTATCTTCTTCACTTCTTCTTTTTCTCTGTTTTCTTTATGGCTCGACTTTGTTATTTTCTTTGTTTTATCTTCCCTAAACATTTTACTATTCACTAACTTGTCTGCTTTATTGTTTCTGATGCTAGTTTGACTTTTCTTTAAGTTTTTCTGAGATTCCTTAATTTCTTCTTTCATGCTCTTAGGTCCAAAGTAAGAACTGTTGATTTTTCTCTTCTTCCAACTGCTATTATCAGCTTTGATACCTAAAGAATTAGAGTGGTTTAGGGATGCATACTTTTAGGTCTGACATAACTCTTCTTATCATTTTTCTCGAAGACCCTGGAAACGAATAGTGTATGATCTTCTTCCATGCCTTTTGTAATATCTTGGAGGAAAGTAGCATATCTTTCCACGAGATTTTGATAAAATTTCGGATTTTTGAGTGTAGCAATAAATGCTCTATCTGCAAATGACTCGTAGAATTTTAGTCCTTGAGGAAACTTTTTATCCTTGATTAGATCTTTGCATTCTTTTACAAATTTATCATAAGTTTGATCATACTGCTCTTTAAGTGCTGGGGTCCATCCAGGAGCATTTTCATGCTTTTTCCAGAAATTTCTGAGCTTTTCTCTAAGTTTTCTAAAGATTCTGTACTCAATGCTCTTGAGTTTACAAAGGGAGATTACTTGTTCATCTTTAATACCTCGTGATACCATGTAAATGACTGCTCCTTCTTCTTCGTTTTGGATAGATCCTGCTGCGACATTATCGTATTCATGCATGAGAGCCTCTGATAGGGAATCTATGCAGTCAAAAGTGCCGATGGTCTCAACGGGAGCGCACTCGAGGTCAAATTCCTTGAATATTTTATAACTTTCTTCTGGCAAAAGACAATTCTTGGAGGAGTTGTTCTCTGTTACAGCATAGAAGATTATCGTCTCTTTGTTATACTTGACAATATGCTGCTCTTTTTGGTTTCCCACATATTCTCCGACAAGTGTCTTCCCAGAAAGAGTCTTTTGGAGCTTAGCAAAGGAGATCTTCTTGCCTCCCAACTTTTTGATGATCTTGAACCAGCAATGAGCAATCTTGAGAGCATACTTGTACCTGGAACCTTCTTCATGTGGGTACCTTTTAAGATCTTCAACTCTGTTGGCGAGTATTCCCACATTTTTGGAAGCGATACACCATGCTGACTCTTGTTGGACCCAGGAGATCTGAGCGTTTTCTCCGTTGATCTTGAGTGACTTTATTACTTCAATATATGCATCCTTGTTAAGCTCATCTATGGCTTTAGCGAAGATGTAGTTCCTAAGGTTGCTTTCGATAGTCATTGCTTCTTTGGATTTGATATTTTTCTTTGTTGAAATATTTAGGAATCGAGTATCATCGAGTCAGTACTCTACCTTGAGATCGTAGAACTTCATTAAGCCTTTCCTCGCACAGATAGTTTCTTTGAATAGGTTTGGGTCGTATCTGTCATATGTTTCTAAGTAAGTATTTCCTCTTCTAATATTCTTTTCAAATTCTGGATGTAACGCATAGATTCTGTCCTCTTCAGGTCCGCTAGCATTGATGCTGACATCTACTCAAGAGATGTTGCGAAAAACTGGGTTATCTACCCTCACGATCTATCAAGTATGAGGAATGAAAATACTTAACTTACCCTGATTAAGCTTTTTCCTTTACCGGTATTCTCTTTGAATGGGAAATCCATTTCTTTTGCTTGTTCAAGCAAATCTGTATCTAGGCTGCCTAAAAGACGTAAATTTTTAAATTCTGATGGGAGAATACATAGCTAGGAGTATCCATAACTCTGGCTGGCCTGAAGGGATTCTACTTACCAAGTCCACTAGTATTTTGAGTTTCTATCTTAGATTCTTCCATTTTGATTTCTTTTTAAAATTTTAATGATTAATGTATTAAGTGTTAGTGGCAATAAATGAGTAAATTATTCAATTAAATCCATGGAAAAGGGGTTTTGGGGTTTTGGGGTTTTGGGGTTTTGGGGTTTTGGGG